TATGCAATATCAAAACTGCTCGTCGCACCCTGTCAACTTGGCATGCCACCGAATTGTAAAGGAAATTTTGGTCTGTCGCCAAATTGTAGCTGTAAGAAAGAAATTAGGTCTGCCGTCAAAATGTAACTACAAACAATAATTTTGGTTCGTCGCCAGAGTTGTAAATGCAAAAGAAAATTTGATCCGTCGGCAAAGAATAATTTTGCTTCATCATCAGAATGTCGTTGTAAAGGGAAAAAAAATCGGTTCATCGTCGAAGTGTGGCTAGAAGAAATAAATAAATTCGACTTGCCACTAAGACGTCGTTGAAGAATCTGGTTTGTCATCGAGGTATCGCTAGAAGAAATAAATAAATTTGACTCACTGCCAAGGAGTCGCTAAAGAATCCGGTTCATCGCCAAAGTGTCTCTAGAAAAATTAATTGTTGGCTCATCTCTAAGGTGTTACTCGAAGAAAACTTCGGCTCTCCGTTGAGTTATTGATGAAAGAAAAGAAAAAAAATTTATTTGCCACCGAGGTGTTGCTAAAATAGAAATTTAGCTTTCCTAAAAGAAAAAAGATTTTGCTCGCCGTCGAGGTGTTGCTGAAAGATAAATTTGGCTTTCCGTCGAGGTATTGCTGAAAGAAAAAAATAATAAAATTCTACTCGAAGCCGAGGTGTCGTTGAAAAAAAAAAATCTGCTCGCCACTGAGGGGTTGCTGAAAGAGAAATCTAGTTTTCCATTGAGGTATTGCGTCAAGGAAAATTCATGGTGTCGACAAAGTATTGTTGAAGTAAAAAAAAAATCACCACACAGAGGCATAGGCATGTAAGCTTCATCTGTCACATCCTTACAGTATCTGCAACAACTTCTCATCGTGGTGCTTGTAACCCAAGTGTCATGGATCGGTCTTCTTCCCAAATTGGTCACCATGTGCTTCCTTTTGATAGTTGTGTTTATAAACTGCGGTTCCTTGGCCTCTTCGATCACCTTTTCTTTCTGAGATAGTCGCCGTTTGCTTTGTGAAACATTTGAATACCACCGTGATGGGATAACGAACAAAGTTCGAATCCAATTGGTGTTGTCTACAAGGATATATATAATTTCTGCTTATACCACCATAATGGGATAAATGAGCAAAATTAATTGGAACCCAATCAATGTTGTCTGAAAGAAGGAATCCAATTTCTGCTTCGGTTGACAAAATTTTCATCAATACTTTTGAAAGTTTTTGCAGAATCCTGGGGAAAAAAAAAAAAAAATCAATTTAAAAAAATTAATAATAAAAAAATCATGTGCATGGATTACGTGAAAAAAAAAAAAAAAAAATCATGTGCATTGATTGGATTATATGAAAGAAAAGAAGACAAGACGAAAAAAACAAAAGAAGAAGCAAGCATAAAAAAGACGTACCAATTATTTGCTCAGAAAGAGGCTGCGATCTAACAAATCTTCAGAGAGAGAAAGAGAGCTCCAACCTAACAAGTCTTCAACAGTACTGGAATTGATGTCAAACCCTATGACATGGGTGATATATATGGGCAATAAAATACCTTCAATTTGTAATGGGATTTGTATAATTCAATTCAAATTGGAAAGTGCATATTTACAATCCCATGTTGGATAGAAAAGCGAAAAAGGAAATTTTACAAATCCAAAGTTGGATAGAAAAGCGAAAAAGGAAATCTTACAATCCAAAGTTGGATAGAAAAACAAAAAAGAAAATTTTATAATTCAAAGACCAGGTTGGATACTTAAAGTCCCACTTGAAATAGAAAACAAGTCCGGTGCAAAGCGGGACTCAAAGTAGGGGCAATTTGTAAACACTAAAATTTTATTGACTTTTATTTTGACAAATTAACCCATCAAATATGGGTCTCATGTTTAAGTAAATTATTTATTTGGCCCAAACTTGGTCAATTATGGGTCTCATGTTTAATTAGCCCAGCCCAGGTGATTAAATTAAAAAAATATTTTTTCTTAATAAAATATATTTGGAATAATTATTTTTTATGGATAATTATCACAATATAACCACCCCGACCCAGTTATAATTATGTCATTATTAAGAAATGACACATGTCATCATTCTATTAATCCAATAAGCTTATAAATAGAGGCATAGATAAAGGAGGAAGAGGTTCGAAAATTTAGAGAGTCTAGAAATCCAGAGATCCATAAATTCAGATAGTTCAGAAATTCAGAGACCCCAAAAAGTCTAGAGGTCCATAAATTAAAAGACTCAAAAATCCAGAGGGCCAAAAATTCAGAGAGTGCAGAAATTCAGAGACTCGGAAGTCCAAAATTTCAGAGTAAAATACAGAAACTCTACCGCCATTCATCCCTAACACCCAATCCTTGAAGAAGAAGAGCAACAAGTACAACCAAAGCCATACCGTTCTTCCACAAATTTAACAAATCGTTCTTTCACAAATTCAACAAATTTTCTGAAAACGAAGAACATCAATCCAAAGTCGTGTCGTTCTTTCTCAAATTTAACAAAGAACAACACACACATCAAAATCGTGTCATCTTTTCTCCGTGATTCAACAAGATTGAAGAATCACCAAAAAACACTATTCAAGATCAAGCTTCGTCAGCCCTCGATAAGAAATCATTGGCGGTCTTCCTCAACTACAAATACTTGAAGAAGATTGTCAATAGCCCGATTCAAGATCAAGTTCCAACAACCCTTGCATCTAACCAACAAAGGAGATTGAATCAGAGGATATTTTCTTTCTTTTGTAAAGAATACCTGAGAGGATTGTACTCAAATTTTCATAAATTAATAAACTATTATGTGCTCCCTATTTCGTTATTTAATTTGCAGATATGCAATTTGTGTACAGGCTGATAATATATGGATTTATATGTACTTAATTTTTAATAAGAGTTTTTCTTTTTGTATAACATAATAAATAAGAAAAATAACTTCTTTATAGTAAATCACACTATGAATTCACTAACCCTCCCCGTCACTGAGTAGGTAAGGACGGTCAAAATGGAATACTTACTCAACGGTGAGTAGGTAAGTATATATTGTCATTTTTTAAAGAAAAAAAATTAAAGCAATTTGTATAAATAAATAATAGGGTTAAAATTATAAAACCCTTCTACTATCTCAAACAATCACAATAGAGCATCTCCAATGCAAAATGTTTTATTTCTATGCCAAAGTTATATTTTGAGAAGAGTTACAGTGTCAAAATGTTATATTTTAGCAATTTTGCTCCAATGGTGCATTTCATCAAATCTTCCCACTTAATGTAATGTTCCAAGATCGCCCAACTTTTGACAATCTCAAAATATGAGAGGTCTTTTGAAAGTCCATTATAGTGCCTTATTTTCATCCACTTGCTATATTTTGAGTTTGAGAGGCCATTTGAGAGCTGTTATATTTCACAATACTTTTGATAATCTCAAAATATGAGAGATCTTTTAAGAGCCCATTGGAGTGCCTAATTTTCGTCCACTTGCTATATTTTAAATTTTAGAGGCCATTTGAGTGGGTATTGGAGATGCTCTAACCCCTTATACTAGCAAATAAGCCCCCCCTAACTAACAAAATCAATTATTTTATCCCCATTCCATTGGAGCTATTAACTAACATATGAAATGAAAAAATTGACCTTTATGATTAAAATCATAAAACCCACTGTACTATCCAAAATCAGTTATATAACCCCTATAAAAAGAAAAATATCTAAAATTATCATTATTTTTTAAATTAATCATATCAACCCAAATAGTAACACCACTAGTACGTGTCAACTTGTAAAATAATATATCCAAATCAAGTCCCTAATACGGTTAAATATATGAAAAACTAATATGAGAAAGAAAATAGTTTTTCCTTTAACATTGTTTCAAATTTTCAATAATTTTAATCTCTAAATTTTTATTTTTCTAAAATACTTTGATTCCACTTTGTCAAAGATATATCATTGTTATCATGATGAAAATTAAAAAAAAAAAAATTATAATTCAATAAATCTATAAGCTTTAACAAAATATGATAATAATGATCAAAATAAAGAAGTATTTTAGTAATTTATACAAATAGTAGTTATAAAAAATTTCATTTATAGTCAAAAAAAAAAAAACATATATAATATCATTGAAATTTTCATTTATAATTGAAAATATTAACATATATAATATCATATATATATATATATATATATATTTCTTAAGATAGTGTTTATATATATAAGAAAAATATTTGGAGAATTATATATAAGTCTTGCAATTATTGAAAGAAAGGAAAACTACAGTATTATTAGTGTAGTATATAGAAAAATATTTGGAGAATTATATATAAGTCTTGCAATTATTGAAAGAAAGGAAAACTACAGTATTATTAGTGTAGTGTATATATATATATACTACACTAATAATACTGTAGTTTTCCTTTCTTTCAATAATTGCAAGACTTATATATAATTCTCCAAATATTTTTCTTATATATATAAACACTATCTTAAGAAAATGTCTAAGAATTGGGGTAAAATAATCACTTTTGTTAGTTTATATATATATACTACACTAATAATACTGTAGTTTTCCTTTCTTTCAATAATTGCAAGACTTATATATAATTCTCCAAATATTTTTCTTATATATATAAACACTATCTTAAGAAAATGTCTAAGAATTGGGGTAAAATAATCACTTTTGTTAGTTTATATATATATACTACACTAATAATACTGTAGTTTTCCTTTCTTTCAATAATTGCAAGACTTATATATAATTCTCCAAATATTTTTCTTATATATATAAACACTATCTTAAGAAAATGTCTAAGAATTGGGGTAAAATAATCACTTTTGTTAGTTTTGGGGGTTAATTGTTACTACAGGGTTATGTGATCAAATTGGATAGTATAAGGGGATTTAGATGATTCTATAGTTGCATTCCCAAAGCCCAACTGACAAGGACTAATGAACACGTAACATTATTTGCCCAACCCAAGAGGAATCAGACCCAAGGCCCATCCTGAATTTTCAACTGCCAAACTGAAATTGCAAATGCCGTTAGGGCATAACAGTCCGGTGAGGCGCCGATGATGCTCCTTTGCTTAAGGTTCTTGGAGAGATCGGCAATAATGGCAGACCGGGCGCTCATAGAGAGAAACGGTGAAGGTGGCGAACCGGACGGCGCACAGGAACGACTGCATGTCCAGCCAGAGAGCTCTGCTGGAGATCCTCACGCCCTTTGATAGAGCTTTCAGATGCGTCATTGTAGGGTTTCGCCGCGGACGGCGGAGATACGGCGGCGGCAGTGGAGATCTAAAGGGCAACTCTAGAGTGAGAGAGACGGATTGTGATGGGTAATTTTAGAGAGAGATTTAGACTCGGTTAACAAGTTAAAGCAGGCTCAGTCTACATTTTTTTTTAATAATATTATATTCTACTATTCAGACGTGTTGAAATTTGCTTGCCAATTGTTGACCTAAAAATGGGACAAACGTCCAAAACAGAGCGAGTTTATAGGCTCGTTCAGACAGAAAGAGAGAGTCATACTCATACGGTGGTGGTGGGTTGGTTAGTTTGAAGAAGAACAAACGAACAGAGTACAGTGAGTCGGTAGTAATGGAGGCGGAGAAGAAGAGCTCAGTGATGGTACTACTACACAATGCCTTCATCGTCACTATGGACCCCCAAAGCCGAGTGTTCCGAAACGGCGGTATCGTAATTGAAAACGATGAAATCAAAGCCATCGATCAATCCTCTCACATCCTCCACCATTTCTCTGCTCTCGAACACCAAATCATCGACCTCCATGGCCAAATCCTACTCCCTGGTTAGTGGTTACCATCTCTCTCCACACACATATATATATATATATATTCATGTACACATATAAGAATATCTAAAAAGATTACCCTTTGGTCATAAAATTTACTTTTATTGGGAACAGTTCTCATAAGAAACCAAATCCTTATGAAATTTTTAGTCTACACATAGATTTCTATATTCATGTGTGTATATATCTGTGTGTGAAAAATGAGTTGTTCACATATGTTGAAAAATTAGGACAATTTTTTTAATTACATTGAAGATACTGAAACTTAGCCCTTGTTCCTCTCTATGTCTCTAGAGTCTAGACACAGATTTATATATTCATGTATTATCCGGGATAATATTGTGGGTGGGGTGCCCGTTTGCTTGAAACTTCAAAAAAATGTGTGTGTTTGTATGTATCTTCTTTACAGTTGTACACAAATGGTTGAAAAATTGGGGCAAATTTTTAATTAGATTGACGGCACAGAAACTTGTCATTTGATTTGATGTATTTGTGACTTCCCTCCGTTTGTTGTGGTTACATATACAGGGTTCATCAACACACACGTTCATACTTCTCAACAGCTCGCTAGAGGGATAGCTGATGACGTTGATTTGATAACTTGGTTGCACCATCGCATTTGGCCTTACGAGTCCAACATGACCGAGGAAGATTCATACATCTCCACTTTGCTTTGTGCAATCGAACTCATACACTCTGGTGTGAGTATTATTAATGATCACAAGCTAATTAATGCCTGATGGATTCTTGTTTTGATTTATTAAAATGCAAATGGTTTGGGTTTGTGATGTGCTGAATCAGGTGACCTGCTTTGCAGAAGCAGGAGGACAGCATGTATCAGGAATGGCGAGGGCAGTGGAGTTACTGGGCTTGCGTGCTTGTTTAACACAGTCAACTATGGACTTCGGGGAGGGTTTACCGACATCTTGGACGAAATTGACTACCCATGATTGTATTCAGGTTCTTTGTACTTCCATTCCTTATCTTTTTGCAATGAATTACAGAAAAACTATGTGAATTGTGTTTTTTTTTTATGATATTGCAGTTTTTTCTCATTTATACTGGTAGATCAGTAGGCCTTATTTCTGATGACATGCTTGATTTATTCTTTCACGTTGAGGCATGCCGACATCTTGAATGTTTGTTTGATCACAAAAATAACATTCAGCATCTGTTAAAGTGTCAATTGACGACTCTAGGATGTAACGATTTTGTTTTCTTTTTTATTGAGAGTTTATGTACTTCATGAGTAGTGCAATGTAACCAAACTATTTTCTTTTTCTCTTTTTTTAATAAATTGTTGTTAGAGAAGGATATAGTTTATCTATTTCTGATTTTATGTTTTAACATGCGCATTGTGGATGATCATTTGTTATTTTTTATTGATCATGCAATCCAATGTAATTGAATTGGTGCATTTTGCTGATATTTACCAATTAAAAAGTATGTTCTTTTTTCCTTGGCACATTTATATTACATGCGCGATTTTCCACATAGACCTATACCTCTCTTGGCAGTTGCAGTTATTTGAGTTAGACTTGAAAGAACTTGTAATGTTTCCTTTCCCAACATAAACTATCAAAAAAGTCTTGTTCACAGCTCAACTGACTCAACCCCCATTCATCCTCTGCCTCAATACTAGATGGCTTGTGATTCCTATCTCATGTATCCAAACAAAATGATACTTCAAGTAAAACATAATATTTTATTTGCAAAACACTAGTTATTTTAGTATAGCTTGAAAAACATTAGTAATTTTAGTGGGTTCTTAGATGCAACAAGTCCTGCCTGTATACTGGTTTTGAAAAAGGTTAGTTTTTTTTTTAATTTATTAAGGCTTACTAACCTTTCATTCTTCCAATAAATCTAGTTTTGGTTCTTGAGAGGCTCAAAGGAGGAGGATGTTTGTAGGGCTATATCATCTTACTATTGGAGGTTGTACACAGAGGGAGCTTGTTGTAGACCTCAGCTAGACGGCTTAGAGTTTGATTGCATCTTGGAGGCAGACAGATAGGAGTTACAGAGGCCGTTTGAGGAGGAGGAGGTTTTGGCGACATTGAATAGCTACAGCAGGGATAAGGCGCATGGACCAGATGGGTTCACGATGGGGTTCTTCCTGGGAAGTGGTTAGAGGAGACATTATGGCGGGCTCCATCACTTACACACTCATGGTAGTTTTGAGAAGAGCTGGAATGCTTCCCTTGTTGCCCTTATTCTCAAGAAGGGTGGTGCTGCGGACGTGAAGGACTTTAGGCTATTACTTGGTGGAGAGCTTGTACAAGCTAGTAGCCAAAGTCTTAGCTCTACACCTAAGAGGAGTTATTGTTGAGGTGATTTCAGAGTGTTAGGATGCATTTGTTGGAGGAAGACAAATTCTGGATTCTGTCTTGATTGCTAGTGAGTGTGTGGACTACAGGTTGTCTAGCGAGGCTCCAGGAGTGGTGTGCAAGCTGCACATAGAGAATACTTATGACCATGTTAGTTGGAGGTTTTGTTTTGTTGTCTGTCCTGGAGAGGATGGGGTTCGGGGATACTTGGAGGAGATGGATATGGTTTTGTATATCTACAATGTGATTCTCGATGTTGATCAATGGATCTCCGGATTAATTTCTTTGACAGTCCTCGAGGGTTGTGTTGGGATCCCTTATCCCAATTCCCATTCAATCTTGTGATGGAGGTAGTTAGTAGATTGGCAAGGAGGGCTGTGGAGTTAGGTTACATCAGAGGCTTTAGAGTGGGGAGGGACTCCCCGAATCAGCTAGAGATTTTCCACCTCTTGTTTGCAGATGATACCATTGTTTTGTGACACGGATGAGTCACAGTTAAGATTCTTGAGATGTGTTATGGTTTGCTTTCAGGCAGTTTCAGGGCTGAAGATCAACCTCGGGAAGAGTGAGATTGTGCCAGTTGGGGAGGTTGTTGATAAAACCTTGTTGCCTAACAATTGGGGGTGTAGTGTTGGGTCGCTTCCTATGACATATTTGGGTTTGCCGCTGGGATCTTTCCTCGAGGAGAGTGTCTGTGTTGGGTTTCAGTGGTGGAGCGTTTTGAGAGGAGGTTAGCAGGTTGGAAGAAGTAATATCGAGAGAGAGAGAGAGAGAGAGAGAGGGAGGGGGAGGAGGAGGAGGAGGAGGAGGAGGGGGGGTGGTTTAACTCTTATGAACTTCCAACATATTATTTCTCTTTTTCAGGTCCCTATCTCAATTGTGAGGAGAACTGAGAAGTTGCAAAGGAACTTCTTGTGGGGTGGCATGTGAGATTTTCTCAAATTCCATCTTGTGAAGTGGGAGCATGTTTGTAGGCCTATTCAGCTAGGTGAGTTGAGTATCAAAAGGTTGGAGCTGTTCAATAAGGCCTTGCTTTGGCGATGATATTATTTACTGCAGTTTTATATTTTATTTGGAGAGAAAGAAATGAGAGATTGCATAATGATAAATTGTGTGACTCTATGGAGCTAGCTAAGTGTATTTTGTGGGAGGTTATGGATGTAATGGGGATTAGTCTTCAAGACATCTTGTAATCTGTTTTCTAGTTTGTTCTGTCATGATTTTTGTTGGCCTTCATAGGAAGGTTTTTGTTGTGTAAGTGGGGGTATGCCCTCACTTGCTTTTATTTGTACACTATTGTTGATATTTATAAATAAGGCCTTGCTTGGGAAGTGGCTTTGGAGATTTGGGGTGGATAGACGTAAGCTTTGGGGGAGGGTCATTGCCACCAAATTTGGAGAGATCAGGGATTGGATGGTGTTCCTTAGAGGTGAGGCAGCTGGCTAGGGTGGGCATTGGAAGGCTATTCAGAGAGGATGGGACAAATTCTCCAAACACATTCGGTTAAGGGTGAGGAGTGGGAGGATGTCAGCTTTTGGACGGATGTGTGGTGTGGGGATTGTTCGCTAGCATCCACTTATTTGTGTTTCTTTCAGATATCTATGGACAAGGAAATTATGGTGGCCAACCAGTATCACTTGATAGTGGGATGATGCTTTGGGATGTCCAGTTTGTGAGGCCCTTTCAGGATTGAGAGTTGGGAGATATTGGTAAGTTGTTGGCCCTGCTATACCGTTAGAAGTTGGGAGGGGTGGAGCCTGATGTGTTTGGGTCTGGATGGAGTCTAGCCATTTCTGTTTTGAGGTGCGTGCTTTTTACCGAAGTTTGATGGATGTTCGTGGGCCTTCTTTCCCTTGGAAGGCACCGCTCAAGGTGGCCTTTTTTGGATGGACAGTGGTTCTATGGAGGATTTTGACTATTGATAATCTATGAGGAAGCGTCAGATTATTGTCAATTGGTGTTGCACGGTCAGTCATCTTCTCTTGCACTGCCCGATTGCTTGAGATAGTTGGGCTATGCTCTTTGCCCTTTTTGGTGTCAATTGGGTTATGCCAGAGTCCCCACAGGGCATGCTTGAGGCTTGGAGAGGGTGTGCAGTGAGGAGGCCAGTCCGAGATGCTTGGAGGGTAAATCCCCTTTGTTTATAGTAGGGATTGTGGCATGAGCAGAACAGGTGTTCCTTTGATGGAGTTGAGGTTCCGACTTGGGTGCTTATATTCTCTATTCTTTTTACTTTAATTTTTTTGGTTACAGGGATGGAATTGTAAATCAGTAGGGAATTTAGTGAATTTTGTGGATTCAGTGAATGTATAGCAGATTTTCTTAGTCTTGCTTTTGTTCTTAAGTTGCGCTCCCCTTTGAGCACTCTTTTAATGAAATCTTGACCCAAAAAAAAACAACAAAAGGTTTAGCTCAAAGGAGACATTCAAAAGATTGTCAGTGTCAATGATGTCGACCGGAAATTGCTCATATAACAAACAACAGTGTGCTTATTTTAGTGTGCTTATTTTATTTTAGTGTGATAAATAACAAATACTAATTGTGTCTTTTTCAGTGTGCTTATTTTTTTGGTTATTTTTTATTTTTCATTTTATTTTATCATGGGCTGGGGTGAATTGTTTGTTAGACAGCGTTGGAGGTGCATCCTGTGCATGAACCAATTCTGCCCTAGCATATGTTACAATATTTACCCTTTTATTCATTAGCATCTCTTAGAAATTATTGTGATTTATTTATATCCTTATTTGATTTAGTCAATTACTTCAATCATTATGAGAACAAAGTGTGTCTTTATGTTAAGGACAGTCTCAAAAGGAACTTTACAAGAAACACCACGATACAGCAGATGGACGCATCAGAATATGGCTTGGAATCAGGCAAATTATGAATTCAACTGATCGTTTACTGCTTGAAACAAGAGAGACAGCGGAAGAGCTGAAAACTGGGATCCACATGGTAGGGCTCTCTCTCTCTCTCTCTCTCTCTCTCTCTCTCTCTCTCTCTTACACACACACACACACACACACAAATGCATGTGTGTATGAAAGCTTTTTGAGGATATCTCATTAGACGCCCTGGTTATACACATGTAAAAATTTTCTCATAATCTAAAACACCTTTGAATTCCATGTTCTTGCATGTCTGGTGTGTTGATTAACTTTTGTCGTGAGCCTCGTGGGTGTCTGCGTCTGGTGATGGAGAGGGTGATGGAGGAATAAGAAGAGTGGATGGGTTGGAAGCTGGTGCGGCCTTAGGGGGCAGAGAGAGTGAGTGTGTGGTAGCAATGGATAAATCAAGAGAGAACCCCGGCCACAAGTCAGTGTTGTCCTCTTTTTCCAGAACTTTTACTGAAATTCAGAGGGGGGTAATACCCTATTATAAGAGTACGGGAGTACAGAGGACAACTGGAGATACTTAGCACATGTGTTAGGACAACATAACTAAATGGAGATACGAGCAAATAAGAGAATATTCTCAGGTTAAATAGCACTAGCAACATTGGTGAACCTGAGTCCTGGATGACAGCTGACAAAATATCAAAATCCATAACATAATTAGTCTAAATGGCTGAATTTTGTTTCCATGAATGTTTTCTAAATTTTGTTCCATTTTTATCTGTTGCAAGTTCCAATTTGAGTTGAAAATTCTCTTTTCTTCTTGGTTCATATGTGTTTCATACATTCCATTAGATGTATGGTGTTGGGTAAAACTTCATGTGATTCTGTAAACAAAATATAAATCCCGACATTGCTAGATCATCTATATAACTCAATGAAGAATGAGAAAATAGTGAATGAGAAATTTAAAATTCTTGGTAGATCATCGCAGGGAATGACCTTGGCGAGTCCTTGTTTTCAGCCCTAACACCACAAACTCTTGAGATAGCATCGTGAGCTACAGCTCAGTCATGAGGTAACACTGCAACTTCCAATCGAGCTTGAGGAGCTCATTGGATTAGATATTTTAATTCATAGAATTAATTTACCAGTTTCCTCATTTTGTCCACTACTTTGCCTTCATGGTTAAACCCAGGTATACCAAGTCATGGCCCCAGAAGTTTTTATTCCTATGTCTTCTTACTGAAACTGCAATAGAGGATTCCACTACATAAATTACTTGCTTTTTTTTAGTCCTCTTTTTGAGAGAGATTCAAAACTGTAAATTGCCAAGGTTGCTTTCATCTTGAGAAATTTATAGAATTTCGCTGTTCAATATTTTGACCAATTTCTGTTGATCTGGTACAAAAGTTTTTTTGTTTCTCTTTTTTCTTCTTCCTTTGTTTATTCAAAAATATAGAATAGTCTTAGGCATAGCATCCCCCCTCCCCCCAAAAACAAAGGATATGAATTCTTTAATAGTTTGTTGCTGCTGGTTCTCCTTTAATGTTTTCTGTATGTAGCACGTTGCAGAGATACCTTATGAGAATGAAGTTGTGATGGATTCTCGAAAAGTTGATCATGGAACTGTTTCATATTTGGAGAAAATCAAGCTCCTGCGGGGTAATTTGCTAGCAGCTCATACTGTATGGGTCAACAAAACTGAGGTAATTCTTTCTGTTCATTCTGTGTTGCACTAATCAAATCAAACTGCATAACTTGTCATGGATATAGAATAAAATCAGAATGCAGTCAAAGACTGCCCAAAGATAGTGAAGTGGAATGCACATTAAAATACAGGCTGAAAGATGTTCATGTACATCATAAGCATTTAATATTCTTTTTTTTTTTTCCCTTTACTTAATAAATGAGTGGCAAGAGATGTGCTACTGTGGTTCATTTGTTTGATTAGTGACGAATGCATGATATTGTTTCAAGGATTTTTCTTTCTTTTCTTTTTTTTCTTTTTTTTTTTCCTTTTATTGTGGAAAATTTGAGCATTTTTAACATTTTTTTTTGGTGCAAGGCATTTTAAATATTTCTTGAGCTGCCTTGCATATTTCTTGCACATCAATATAGTGGTAATTTTTGTATTTAAACTGCTGATCATAGAGTTGAAAAGATATTCAGTATTTCTGGATTTCAACCTAATGTTGACCTCATAGGCTTCTTCAAGTGCTGGAGCTGATCATTGAACATTCCCCCTCCCCCTTTGCACTTTTACTTACAAAATAAAACACAGATAAAGAAAAGGTACACTTTCTTAACAATCTTTTTGTTTGTGGTTACTTTAATTACCTCTAGAAGTCAATGCACTTATTACCTGATCATTGATTAATCACAATTTTCACCTTGCTTATATATATACATGTATATATTGCAGGGTGTTTAAACTGTTATCTCATATTTTCGTTTCAGATTGGTTTCCTTTCAAGGGCTGGTGTTAAAGTATCTCATTGTCCTGCTGCTGCTATGCGTATGCTTGGATTTGCCCCTGTAAAAGAAATGATTGAGGCTGGTATTTGTGTGTCCTTGGGAACAGATGGTGCACCATCGAATAATAGAATGAGCATTGGTTTGTCTTAAATCTGAAATTCTGGTTTTCCATTCTTGCTCCATTAAATAAATAAATTTACTTTCATGTTGGAGCACAATGGACGCGATCTTGCACTTTTTTTATGTAAGATTTCCCTTTTCTTTAGATCATGTAATGTTGATGTCTTGTGGGTATTGATGTAACCAAGGAACTGCTTACTCAATTTTCAGCTACCCAGCTTTCCTTCCCAGCACATTCACCCACAGCCAAAAAAATAAAATAAAATAAAAGAGACAGTTGCTGTTTGTGATATCGAGACTTAGTAATCCTTTTAAGAGACCAATTAGAGTTTCTTTTGGCTTCTGTTTTTCTTTTGGTCGGTAATGCTTTAGGGATTTCTCATTAATAAATCCATCTTACAAATCTTGGTGGCATAGTTAAGCTTGTCATGGATCTGTGTTAGTGGCTTTATATCTGGTAATTTGTACTTACACAAAAAAGAAACATTTTCTTGGAGGGTGCAAGTCAAGATTTTAACAATGCAAACAACAGTAGACAGAAAAAATCAGTGAAGAAGAAAAAGAATTAACTTCCTTTTGGGTCATGCTACATGTAATCTTGGCAAAATTTACAAAGCACTATAATTATTGCCATGATTTGTTCTGTCATGAAAACAGTGTCTGCTTCTTTAGGGTTCGCCCTCGTGATTTAAAATTGACAGAAATTAATGTTGTTCTCTAGATGCCTTTGTAGTTCATTGATAAGTGGAAATTACTTCTTGATTAGTATTGCTTACGGCAATGATACCGGTTGAGAATTTACACGTGGAATTATCCTTGTGCAGTTGATGAGATGTACCTAGCTTCTCTGATCAACAAAGGAAGGGAAGCTTGTGTGAAAGGAACAACTGATCCTACAGTTCTTCCTGCTGAAACAATTCTGAAAATGGTGACAGTAAATGGTGCAAAATCAGTACTCTGGGACAATGAAATAGGGTCACTTGAGGTTGGGAAAAAGGTTGGTTTTTCTTTCAACCATAGAACATCTGTTGTTTAACTGTGGGAAAACTTATTCTAAGTGCTGGCAGCATTGTACTGTGGGGATTTTTTCTTATTCAAATTGTTTTTTCTTTTTCTTTGTCCAATCCTGCTGAAAAAGGTGATGGAAAGGGTATTTTTTGGTTGCAAAAATACAGCATGATACTATGTTATAACTAGTTTTAAATCATAGTTCATTTTTTTTTTAGTCAGATATAGTCAGCATAAGCATTTCTCTATTGTTAGAGAGTTCTTGTTCCACATCAGATCTAGATGGCGAAGTCTTGGCTTATATGGTGGGTAGACAGCTCCACCTAACATGATGTAAGCAGAAGCGATAAATTTGTTCACAAGAAACAATTTATTTTGAATCCACAAAATAGGTGTTTTGAATCCACAAAACGAAGAGATAATTCAAAGAAATCTGATAAATTATTGATAATTGAATGAATAAAAATTAATTTTGCACTTTGCAGTACACATATTTATAATAAAAGAAAACCTAACACTAGAAGAAAACTAAAAACATAAAGAAACCTAATAGCAAAAGGAAAATAGCACTAAAAATAAGCCTAAAAATAAAGTTTCTCTAAAAATTCCGAAAAAAAATAGAATAAGAAACCTAATAAACAAAAAAATCTTAAATTTAAAATTTTAGAGCAATCCGAGATCATTAAGGCCTTAAACAAAAATCTCAAAATAATTAGCCGGCCTCGTATAAGACGATGAAACACGATTTCGGAGCCCTAAACAAAGGTTTTCGGCCGAAAATCAACATGGCCCACAAGCAAAAGTTAGTGAGTTTTTCTCAATGAATCGTTTCCGCCCAAAACACACTATTGGTTTGTCGAAAACGGGGTTGTCGAACTATGCAGAATTCTGTGCTACATCAGTCCCCTCCACTTCAAAAAAAACTCGTCCTCAAGTTTGGCTGCGTACAACATGAATTATTGCCTACCACAAAATCATATTGTTCACTGCCATGAGAATCTTCAAAGCACAACACCAAAGTATTTTTATTAGCACCTTTTTGAATAAAAACTTCTTCACTTGCAATCTACTCAAATAATGATCCTTCACTAATTTGAATCTCAAATTCATCAAAACCATCTTGGATATTCAATTTAAAATTTTCTTTGACCCCGTCAACAATTGATTCATATTTTTCGCTTTGAAATTCAAACTTCTTGTCACCATCTTCTTCTTTTGCCATATTAAATTCCTTAACGGCATCAACTTTAACAAGAGGTGAAACAACAAAATTCTTCTCATGATTTATCTCATAGTAAGGTGGAAGAAACTTGGCTAGCAAAAGACGTTTCATCTTCAACCAAGATCGTACCGGTGCTTTTATTTGTCGTGCATGAGAAACTCGCAACTGTTCCCACCAATTAAAAGCTATTCCTTCAAATTTATATGCAACCAATGCCACCTTATTTTCCTCTTTAATTTCCATGTAATCAAAGAACCTCTAAAAATCTTCTAGCCAATCCAAAAAATTTTCAATATGAAAGCGACCATCAAAACTAGGAGGAAAATTCCTAAGATTATAATCCCAATGATTAGACATGTCTCTATGACCCCCAAACACGTCTTCAGCGTAATCTTCATCATCACTATCACTGAATTTATCCTCGTAGGCTGGTTGCCTACGTGGCATGGGGTTGCGTTTCCAAAAAGGACGAACGAGATCTTCGTCAACGTTTCGCACCCTATTGTTATTGCGATTCTGATTTGGACCCAATGCGAGCCCACCAAGGGTTGCTTGAATTTCTTGCAATGCTTGTTGGGTTGTCTATCGAAAGTCCAGGAATTCGGCCCTCGAAAAAGCCTCTCTCTGTCAATCTTCGTCGCCAGCGAGGTTGATGTCACCACGTTCATCTGCCATCAGACAAGGAAAAGACGGGGCTTTGATACCAACTGACGTAAGCAGAAGCGATAAATTTGTTCACAAGGAGCATTTTACTTTGAATCCATAAAGTAGGTGTTTTAAATCCACAAAACGAAGAGATAATTAAGAGAAATCTGATATATTATTGATAATTGAATAATTAAAAATTAATTCTACACTTTGCAGTATACATATTTGTAATAAAAGAGAACCTAACATTAGAAGAAAACTAAAAAATAACGAAACCTAATAGCAAAAGGAAAATAACACTAAAAATAAGCCTAAAAATAAAGTTTCTCTAAAAATTCCACAAAAATAGAATAAGAAACCTAATAAATTAAAAATACTAAATTTAAAATTTTAGAGCAATCCAAGTTCATTAAGACCTTGAACTAAAATCCCGAAATAACTAGCAGGCCTCGTATAAAACGATAAAACACGATTTCGGAGCCCTAAACGAAGGTTTTCAGCCGGAAACCAGCGTGGCCCACAAGCTAAAGCCAATGGGTATTTCTCAATGCATCGTTTCTACCAAAAAAAAAAAAACTATTGGTTTGTCAAAAATGGACTTGTTGAATTGTTTGTGGAACTGTGCATAATTCTATCCTACATCATAACAACTTAAGTTTTTGGGTCGGATGGCAAACCCCAGGCCCATTACAAGTGGTATCAAAGTATGCCAAGTCCTTGATCCGGTGTCATGTCAAGCACCCACACGGGTCGGGTTTGTGTTTGGGTTGTTACTAGTTACTTCTGCCGTTAGGTGGGACAAGTAAGCTGGATGGTCCAACCGCAATGAGGGCGTTGTGAGTTCGGGTGGAGGAGAATGTTAGAGAGTTCTCGTCTTACATCGGATCCGGATAGGGAAAGTCTTGGGCTTATATCGGCAGGTAGGCAGATCCACCTAATAGCTTAAGCTTTTGGGGCTTATGGCAAGCACCCGGCCCGTTACACCTATATCAAACCGTTACACCTATATCAAAGTCTACGAGAAGAAAATTTTAAGATAACTACTTTAAAAGATAATTCTAATGTCATTTACATTAGAAGTCCTTGAAAATTTAAGATAACTGCATTAAACGATAATTCTAATATCAATTGTGTGACAGTTGAAATTAATTGCGATTTGATTGAATAACACTGACTATTTTTTATTAAAATAAAAAAGGACACAATGAGCTTAATAGTAAGGAAGAATTGTGCAGAGCTAGAAAGCTAAGGAAGAAAAAGAAAATTCCATTCACCTATCTCAATACCCAAAGAACAAAAAAATGACCTTGTTGAAAAAAGGAAAACTAGGTGTAAAAATTGTATAGAATTGTTACTATAGATGGTGTTAGGGTTTGTTTGTTCCCGACAAAGCCATTGATTGTAAATTGACATTAATTAATAAAATTTAATTTATTTATTTTCATATATAATATTGATGAATTATTGTATTGGGTTGTTTTTTTTTTTATAGATAAATAGGAAATAATGTAATTTTTTTTTTGGTCATTGGCAAGAAACTCACACACCCACTTTGTTCCTTTGGAGACTCTAACCCTCACCCAACCACTTTAGAAGGTAGAGGAGATACCATTGGGTCACAAGGCCGTGAATTATTGTATTGAGTAGTTCAAAGATTTTTTGAGCTAATTGTCCATTAATTATGATAGGATAAATTTATGTGCACATAAAGTAAGGTTCGTGCATCGGAGATATATATTCATCGGTATTCATAATTATTAATGTTCGCACTCAAAGGAATAGAATTGGACATTCTATTTCATAAGTGTAACTGTTGGTTTCTAACTCGATGGAAACACTAAGTGGAGTGACTTGTCTCGGTGATCTGGACGAGGTGATTCAAAACCAATGACATGCTGAACAGGTCGCCGATAAGTAAAAAATTAGTTGTGCGATCATGAGTAGTTTTCCTTATCTATTACTAATATAAGTTATCTTAATCCTAAGAACTATACCGACCGGGGTTGTACTAATATTTGCTTTAATTTACTTGAGTAACTTGCGGGTCAACACACTTGGTATTTTGGGTAAGGGTAAAGTACAGTAACACCCCTTGAGGTTTGTCAAAAGGACACACAGATACAAGTTACCCTATTTTTGGACAATGAGACCCCCTTATGAGATTTGCAATCCAAATATAGCCTAAAATCATGTGAAAGTCTACTTTACCCTTCACTGTTTAATTAATTTTAATTATAAAATATCAAAATAATTAAATGACTAAATTACCGTTACCTCTCTCTCTAAATTACCCTCTGCCTTTCTCTCCCCCCCCCCCCCCCCCCCCCCCCCCCCCCCGGCCCTCTCTCTCTCTATAGCCACACCACAACCACACACACACACCGACAGAGACCAACAGAAATTTCTTCCTTGCAGAGACCAATAGAGAAAGAAAACTGGGTGTGGCTTTTGGGTGTTAATTTTCGGGTGGGATGGTGTTAAAAGAGAGTGGTGGTCAATGGTGGTGGTCCAGTGATGATGGTGGCGGTGGTGTGTATATATATAGGGGTGTGGGTGCAATCTTTGCCGGAAAATCAAAACAAACCCAGAAAACCTGATCTCTCCCATACCCAAATTCATCACCTCACTAATAGCAATCTTCGCCGGAAAATCAAACCTTAACCCCGCCGCTATCGCCACAGTATCACTCCACTCTTTCACGGCAGTATCAGCCACTCTCGGAGTCAACGTCGCCGGAGTCTCTCTGTCGAGACGGCGGAGTCAATGACGCTGATGGTGGAGGAGAGGCAGTTGTTGCTTCCGACCCGCCGTCTTTTCTTCGGCCCACCACCAGCACCACTAGATATCATTTCCACGGGAAGATAAGAGAGAGAAAGGGTGTACTTGTGTGACGATTGCAGAATTTATGAACCTCTCTCTCTACAAATATATATATATATATACACACACATATCTATACAGAATTTCTCCGATTAATCAATTAATTGATAACTAGGTATGGCTTTTGGGTGTTAATTTTCAAATGGGATGGTGTTGAAAGAGAGTGGTGGTCGATGGTGGTGGTCCGGTGATGGTGGTGGTGTGTGTGTATATATATATATATATATAGGTTTGTGGGTGCAACGGTGGTTGCAGTGGGTGTTGTGTTGCAGTGGTTGTGATGGTGGGTGTTGTTGTGGCGGTTGTGGTTGTGTATATATATATATATATATATATATTGTGAGGGGGGAAGAGAGAGGCAGAGGGTAATTTAGAGAGATAGGCAAGGGTAATTTAGCCATTTAATTATTTTGTAATTAAAGTTAATAAATAGTGAAGGGTAAAGTAGACTTTTCACATAATTTTTGGCTGTTTTGGGATTGCAAATCTCATAAGGGGGTGTCATTGTTCAAAAATAGGGTAACTTGTATCTATATGTCCTTCTGGCAAACCTCACAGAGTGTTATTGTACTTTACCCTTTGGGTAAATATTCTAGATGGAATCCGTGTGTTTTCGTATTTTGGCTAGGTTGATTTGATCACAAAATCTGGCAAGTTGTATTTAATAAATATAAAATGAGATACAACAATAATGCTATGATTTTCTAAACAAATAGAAAATTCATGCAATATTTTTCAATGGTTTGAAATATATGCTTTCCAAAACCAAGTTGAATATCCCTTTCAAAAAAACTATAAATAATGCACAAGAAACTACCACAACCTGACATTCTATCCAAGGCAAAACAATAGAAACAATTCATCTCCCATTAGATTCTTTAGACATTAAATTCCAAGAAAACACAATTAAAGCATCGCCTTTTAAATTCAAAGCAGATTACAAAAGTCCAAATGATATACCGACAGCAAGAGATGTAAAAAATATTATAGAACGAAATAATTATACAAACCAAATTTTGTATACAATTAGTAATCAATTAACTGGAATTGAAAATATTGTTCAAAAAGAAGATACTGTTAAAAAAACATAAAGGATGAAAAACCATTTTGTAAGCCACATCAAATCCAAGGAACTTAATTAAAAGTCTCCAAGAAGATGATGTTATTTCTCAATAGACGCTAAAATAGCCCAATTAAATGACCAAATAAAACCAAACCTTTATAAGTCCTGACACGCCACAATCTGCCAAAAGTAAGTTAATTGCTCCAATAGAAGGAAGTGGTGAATCCAACGTTGAGACAATACCAAGCTTAAATGGCAAAATAGGAAAAACTTTTACCCAAGACCAAATTTTCCTTGTCTTCAATTAGAAAGAAAGGGGAACTTTTTCCCAAGCCAAATACCATGGAGGAACCATTTACGAATGGAACATAGATGGAATGACAGAAAATCATGAGACATAACGTCAATTGTGTTTGTGACTTTTTTCTTTTCTCGTCATAGCATCATTTTTTTTTCTCTTTTTTTTTTTTTTTTGTCATAGCATCATTGCTTTTTGTCTTTTTTCTTTTCTTTTGGAGGTTATATATATATATATATATGAGAATCCTCCGTAGGAAAGCTTTAGCTTCATATGTTTATGTGCTTTGTCTTCTTTTTTTGAAAAAATGATTTGTTAAATTACTTTGCTTCAAATTTCTTTATTTGAGAAGTTTCCGGAGCTCTGTTTCAACTGCATTCATGTTGCTTCTGACTTCTTTCAATCAATATTATTAGTTTATCCCCATGGTCTTGCTTTGCCTTTTATGTAATGAAAAATGCAGAAATAGAAGAGGAACACCGAGGTTAGTAATAATTTATAAACCCCTCAATACAACCCCTACAATGGATTAGATATCCAATTCCAAATAAAAAATATATTTATTAGCAAGATTAAAAAATGCAAAAATATTTTCAAATTTTGATTTAAATCAGGATTTTGGCAAATCCAAATTCACCCAAAAGATAGATACAAAACAGCTCCAATAGCAACTACGCACAATCAAAATGAACATGAGTGTTGTGGAATTTCCCAACAGTAATCACAAGAATAATACTGTCAAAAAGCAAACTATTTGAGTTTTTCACATGCAAAAAGTAGTGTGCATACACTCAAATAGAAAGGTTCCAAAATTCAGCCCATTTTATTCAAAGAAGTCATAAGCAACATGCAGTTGGAGCAGAGCTCCAGAAACTTTTCGGATGAAGACATTTGAAGACAAAGCAATGCAAAGACATAAAAATATGAAGCCAAAGCTTTCCTGCGAAGGATTCTTATGTGGGATATATATATATATATGCACAGACCTATATATAACATCCGAAATAAAAGAAACGAGACAAAAAGTAATGATGTTATGACAAGAAAAAAGAAAAAGATTAAAAGAAATAATGTTTTGACAAGAAAATAAAAAGTCACAAACACAATTGATGGCATGTCATAAATAGTTTTTGTTTAAATATATTTAATCAAACAGATAAACCTAGGGGGCCAAATATGAATTAATTGTATATTGGATTGATGGTCATATTTATCCAAACAACTAATTAACGTGGAGGGGTCAATTTATCCATGTCCTTAAGAGTGCAATTTTTTCTTTATAGCGGAGTTAAAAATAATTAATAGAGGTATTTTAATAGGCTAGGTGTTAGCAAGGTATTAAAATTTCCTATTGAAGTCAAGTATAAGGATAAGCCTATCAAATCCCACTCCTAGTCCAACTTGGAAAGCAAGCAGTATATGAAAGGTGAATTAGTGTGGAATAAGGAGAGTATTTAATTGGAACACTACCTCCATATATAGAGGTAGTAAGGCTGTTCCAAAAACACACAAGGCACACAATAATATTCAAAACATTTTCTTCACACACCTCTCCTAATTCCCTAATTCAAAAGGAGATCTGAAGCCCACACTTCACTGCTCGTCGATTTCCTACCCGGAGATAGGAGTGAAGATCCGGAGGCACCATAGTTCGTTGGAGATCAAGGGTTGTGGACATCCATATAGCAATCAATCAAGTTTTGGTGGCAGACAATTATTTAATTGTTTAAGAGGTAAAGTGATCTAACCCTCTATGATAATCAAAGAATATTAGTGGTTCATTAAAGCTAATTGGGACGATCATGTTCTGCTCATGAAAACTATTTTTTGAAAAATTGCTTCCGCTTTATTTACTTCGGGCTACCCAACAGATGGAAGCACACAATTTCAAGGTGATAATCTTAGTATCTTGCACTTCTTTATGAGTTGCATGAGCTAGAAATTGCAATGGGCTACATATTCAGGTGTTATCATTTTTATACTTGATTAGTCTCTACTCAGTTGTATGACTTCTTTTTAACTTCAGATCTATTATCTTTCTCAATGCTATGCTAGAAAATTGACACAGATTATTGTTTGTTTTCATCATTTGGTAGGCTGACATGATTGTTGTCAATCCTTTCTCCTGGTCTATGGTTCCTCTGCACGACTGGTATGAATCTGCCCCTGATGTCATGCAATACTTCATAGATTTATCTTTGTTGAAAGCTTTTGCTGTTACATTGTCTATTTGAACTCGTCTGTTATGAAAGAATCTTCCTGATTGTCATTCTCAAATACTGCTCTCAAATACTGCTCTTATAGAATTCACTTGTGATTGAAATGTGTTGGAGAATATTATTATAGGAACCTTAAATTTCTCCACAGAATATTGTGGGAGTGATTTTAGTATATGATAAAATATGATTAGAGTGATTTATGGTTCCTATAATAATATTCTCCAACAAAATGTTTTAGAATTTCCCTTTCCAAAATTGTCAATATGAAACTCTTACCAAAATAAATAAAATAAAATAAACTGGAACTAAATTAGAAGTCAATTTTTATAGGGTGACTGGCTACTGCATAGATCCACGGCCTAATAGTTGAATTTATCAGTTTATATCCTTTCCCAGCTTATTGACACCTATTTAGCTCTGTTTCTTCAATTATTACTTTGCATGTTGTGGAGACCAGCGGGAGGGTGGGCCGTGCATCTTGAATCTGGATTTTTATCTTCACAAGGTCTAATTAAGGGCCAGCAGCCATCACAACACTAAGGCTCTATTGACATGAAATGTTTTCCGGAAAACATCTTATGTATTTTCTAATGTTTGGTTCCATATTGTAACATTAAAAATATATTACTGGTAAATATTTTCAATTAAAGCTCGAATTTTATTTATACTTAGTTTACCTTAGCAAGAAACACACACACACACACACTTTTCTGTTTGGGGACTTGAACCTTCGACCTTCTACTTTGAAAGGTGAGGAAGTACCACTAGGCTACAACCTTTGGTTGTATCAAATCTCCAAATTGAGACCTAAAATTCTCTCTGGTTACTTGCTGTTCAGCAGTGTAGTTCATTTTTATTTGTTTTTAGCAAGATTCAGATCCAAGTTTCCCGCTACCATATTAAACTAATTCGATGGATTGATTCATTTTTTACTAATTTGCAGCATCTCTAGCCTTGTATATTGCATGCGAACTGAAAATATCGTCTCTGTAATGTGCAATGGTCGTTGGATTATGAAGGATCAGAAAATCTTGAATGTGGATGAGGTAATTACCAATAGATTTATTAATTTATCTGGAGTGAGTTTATGGAGGATGCATTGAAGATTGGAAGTAGATATTTAATGCTTATGCATCTGATATTATTATTGTCAACCGATGTGTCCTTTAATAGAAAACCACTTGAAAGTTAAATTAGGTTGCTTGACATCCCCCCACCCGCAACAAAACACACACACAACACCACCACCACCACCACATGGTCCACACCCACCCCCTATGAATTAGTTGGTTGATACGTTGAGTTGTACCTTTTTGGATTTGCATCATATGTTGAGAAGCATAACATATAGCTCTTTTAGATGGTACCTTTTATTGGTCTAGTTTCTTAAGTTGCTATCTCACAACTTTGACAGACACACACACACAAAGGATGTTTATAGTTCAAAGAATTTTCAGGGGAAAGTAGTAAGCTTTTCAGAGGCGGACAAAATATTTTGAAAATGTTAGGGGGATGGAAGGGTGGGACGGCTTCACGAATCATTTTTTGCAGTTCTACTCTAACTGAACCAATACCATGTTCTTTTCAACCTTCTCTTTCTTCTTTTAGTTTCACATATTTGAACCAAATCCGTCTGATCACTGCTTCTCATTGCATATGAACAGTCCGTTTTATCATAACATATGTTGGATGAAAATGAGGCATTTCTAACGAGAAGACATTTAAGAGTTTACTCCACTGCTCTCTCTCTCTCTCTTATTTATTTATTTTAGAATGAGCTGCGCTTTTAGCAATATTAGATTCACCATAAGAATGGTAGATACATTGGTTATTATGACTGTGCTTCCTGTTTTATGTGTTGTATTGGATCTCATCACCTAGTGCAAGATTAGGAGAAATAGTTCTATTCTTGTGTTAACAGAAGGGATTGTTAAAAAGCTGAACTATTTCTGCTCTATTATTTTGTTTATCGGGAACCAATGATATGCTTCTTACCCCTTTATTTTTCTGGCTATAAATTGGACAGGAAAAAATAATTTTGATGGCAAAGCATGCTTCAAGTGCACTTTTGAAAAGGGCAGGCATCATGATTCCGAACAGAATGAATGTGCTTTGATATTTCTATCCTTTCTTTTCCTTTCCTCCCAGCGAAACCATACGCATTGCGTAAATGAAATGACCAGATTAAGTGCGGACGTTGTTCTTGATGGTAAAAGAGCTTTTATGAGTACAACAGTCATAAAATTGTTGCAAGTAAAATTATTATTGTGATGCATTCTATAAAGCACTTTTTGTAGGTAAAACACTTTTATTGTTGTTTGGTAGTAGTATTGCTTATAATACTAATTTTACTATATTACCAATACACTAATAGTCAAATAAACTTACCCAAATTTTAATTATTTTCATATTTCATTGTCTTCAATAATTATGCGAAGATCATTTTGAATTTTTTCTTTATGATCACTTTGTTTTTTTTTTTTTTTTTTTGTTTATTATATAGTATTTGTAATTTAAACATATGTGATTGTCACCTAAAGAATTTTGCTCAATCGAGGAAGAAGATATTATAACAGCTGGACTAATGGCCATGTTTTTACGTTGTTCAATTGTTGTCTTAAAATTCTTTTGAACAATTCTGCGAAAGTAGTAAAGTGATGGCATGTAATTATGAAATTCACTATATTCCTTCTACGCAAGGAGCCCGATTATGAACAGTTGATGAGCATGACGAGCCGAGCTGGGAGATGTTTGAGCTCGTTCATGAGCATAACAAGTTTTGCTGAGAGATGTTTGAACTCAACTTGTTTAATAAATAAATATAAAAATCTTGTTCGAACTTGATTCATTTATTAACAAATGAACTCAAACCGAACCAAAACTCTACACGTACTAATCTATTTTTTGTTAATTATTAACTTAAGCTCTTAAATGGAGAAGGGTTCGACGATGACTTAAAATTCACGGCTGGGATTGACTCAAATTTATCGGCTAGAGTTAAAATTTTATTAGGCCTTATTTTGAAATGACGAGAGTTCTAAACTTACATTATATGAGGCAATATATATATATATATATATATATATATTATGATAAATTATAATGTACATAAACATATTTGGTTTAGTTCACTAAACACAAATACTCCTTCCTCTTCTTCAAAAGAAATGTTAAAGAGTTTAAATTCTACTTGTGGATAATGATTATGTTTGTTTTAGAAAAATCAGAAGTTTGGGCAAATTATACACGGTTAGAACCTTTAACTTTTATTACCTTTGACCTTCTTTGAGATTAGACCGTGCGCTCAACACACTCCTAACATTTTTCTTTCCAGAAGACATGAACAAATTTTATAAGATGATAATCTTATCATTCCATTATAACATGAAATATAATATATTATTATAATATTAAGACATTATTGATTTTTTTATATTCAAAATTATTTTTTCTACCAACATGCCAGTGGCCTAGTGGTACCAAGCCCTTACTTTTCAAAGAGAGGTCAGGAGTTCGAGCCTCAATGGAGACATGTGTGTGTGAGTACCCAATTAGGAAAAAAAGTTATTTTTCCTGAGGCAACACAAGAATGTTAAAATAATAAACATTGAACAATTACCGTGTAATTTGTTCGAAAGTTGGGGGAGATCAAGTGTAATTTGCCCTTAAAAAATAAAAAAACTAATTGAACAATCAAATTCTTTTGGCGGGAAAAAAATGTTGCAGCGGAGCACTGAATGAATGAAAAAGTGAAATGGAAGAAGAAGCAGCGAAGAACCGCTCTGTATTGTTACTACTCCACAATGCACACATCATCAAGATGCATCCCCGAAACTAAGAGTTCCGACACGGTGGTATCGTAATCGTAAACGATAAAATCAAAGTCATCGGCGATTCCGGTCACTTTCTCCACCATTTCTCTCTTCCCGCGGACGAAATCATCGATCTCCAGGACCGAATCCTACTCCCTAGTTCTCTCTCTCTCTCTCTTCACACACACACACACACACATACATATATATGCGCGCTTGCATATATATATATATATATATATCTTCTATATATTCTTTGTATGAATATATGTGTGTGTGTTTGTACACATATGGTTTGATTGGAGCAGTTCTTTGAAGAAATCGAAAATTTAGCCCTGGTTCCCCCTCCCTTTCTCTATTCTACACAGATTTATATATTCATGCATATACATAAATATATATATATATATATATATGTATGTATGTGTGTTTGTTCATATATATATATATATATATATATATATATATATATATATCTTAACTCCTTAGTCATCAAATACGATTTGATCGGAAAAGTTCTCAGGAGAAGTGAAATCCATTGGAAATTTAGCCCTAGTTCTTCTGTTGGAATTTTTATATATATATTTAAATAATAAAAATTATTTTATGGTCCTATGCGCTACGTTTTCTAAAGTAGGATTGTAATGTGATTATTGATACTTGATGGATTGGGTTGTACTTTCCAATTTGGTGGTCTAATTGGGAGTATGGTTTTTATACCGTTGAATTGTGGTTTTCCAACTTATTTGGTGTAATTTAATTCTAAGCATTAATATCTAAGTTTCCATGATAGGAAGGGAGACTTAGGTATGCTTGTTTGTAGAGAAGTCGTCCCCCCCTATTGTTGTTATATATAAGGGTTTTGAAAACCCTTATTCAGACCTATCGTATCGACAATTCTTAGAAGAGGGTAAAACGCTCTAATGTTTTGCAGGAACTCACAGAGGATTACATAGATATTCAAAAGGTATATGTGCGTTGATCATCAATCAGGTACGAGTGTAAATTACACTTTAATTAATTACAGTATATTTGATTTCTACGTGGATTATTTATTTAAAACCCAGCATCTTCTCCCTCTCTGTCTCTTTACACACGAATTTGTATATTCATGTATATATAAATATGTGTGTTTGTGTGCCAGTGTGTTTTGTATATATCTTCTTTACTCTTTAGTTCTTCACGCATGTTGAAAATTTAGGGCAATTATTTAATTCAACCGACAATGCAGAAACTTAGTCCCGGTTCTTCCTCTCTACACAGATTTATGTATTATTGTGTGTGTATATCTCTGTGTGTGTGTCAGTGTGTTTGTGTATATCTTCTTTACTCTTAAGTTGTACAAACATGTTAAAAATTTAGGTAAATTCTTTAATTCAATCTACGATGCAGAAACTTAGTCCTGGCTCTTCCTCTCTCTCTACACAGATTTATGTATTATTGTGTGTGTATATATATATGTGTGTCAGTGTGTTTATATATATCTTCTTTACTCTTACGTTCTACAGACATGTTGAAAATTTAGGTCAATTCTTTAATTCATTTGACGATGCAGAAACTTAGTCCTGGTTCTTCCTCTCTACACAATGATTCATGTATTCATTATATATAAATATGCGTGTTTGCTCTTGTATATATCGTCTTTACTTTTTAGTTGTGCACATTGTTGAAAATTGGGGAATTTTTTTTCTTTAATTAGTTTGACGATAGGAGTCTTGTCCTTCATTTGATGTATTTGTGACTCTATCTGCATTTGTTATGGCTATATAGGGCTCATCAACACACGTTCATACTTCTCAACAGTTCGCTAGAGAGATACCCGTTCACTTTGGTGTGAGGCGTTGGTTGCACGATCACATTTGACCTTTTGAGTCCAGCATGACTAAGCAAGATTCATACATCTCCATTTTGCTTTGCGGAATCGAACTCATGTTGGAACTAGGGATGGCAATTTGATCCACTCCCGCGGTTACCCGCCCCGCCCCGTTTTTGACGGTTTTGAGAAACCATTTAGCTTATTTGGGCGGGAATGGTTTGATGTGATAAAAACCCGCGCGGGTTTGGTGCGGGGACGGGAGAGGTCGCCCCGCCCCGCCCCGTTTAGATAGGCAAATTACTTAGTACCCTTATTTCATTAGTATATATATTTCCCAATATATATATATATATATATATATATATATTAAGTACCCTATATAACAATATTAAAGTAACAAATGAATTTGATTAGAAGGAAAGTTGCAATGATGAAGAACTGAAGATGAGGGAAAAAAAAAAAGAACAAATCTATTTCAATAATAAATAAATTATGGTCTTAAACGGGGCGGTACGGATACCCATTGGGGTAAAAATGTTAAACAGTTGCGGGGATGGGATGGAAAGTCTCCTCGTTTTGCGGTTTTGGGCGAGGACAGGGGTGGAGTTTTTAAACGGTTACGGGAGCGGGGGACGGTACACCCGCCCAAACCCGCCCTCGTTGTCATCCCTAGTTGGAACTGATATATTAAAACGGTGAGTATCGAGGCTTAGAGGCGTGTAATCGCTTCTTGAAGATAGTTAAAGCTTCTCCCACGTGCAACGGAAGACAAATGGCGGCACTATCTCCGGGATTCAACTAAGCCCAGATATCAAATCTATATGTTCATGGATGTTGCACTTCTTTCATGAACCTATGTATTTATCTCTGTCCGATCAACTAAAAATATGAAATTGACACATTCAAAGTCAATAGTTTGAAAACACTTTTTCAAATCTCACTTTCTCTTATTTTGTTTTTGAGAGTGTGTATTTTGTAGGCTACGTAGTTTTTCTATTTATATTAGTATATTTAGAAGACATTAATTAAGTATTTAATGTAACTTTTAACTTAATTCATAAATATCATATCAATATAGTAGATTATGCATCAGGTGAAAACTTAAGTTTAAAGTTTGTAAAATCAATATTTTATCTTCATAAATATAGAGTTACTATATTAATTTGAAACATAACTCCAACAATCCCCCACTTGTTTCAAATTTCTTTTTGTTGATCGGTACAGTCATATATGTGCATCAATAATGGTGTCTTTTGGACTTGAGCCATTACCTAGTATAAATACCCTTGATTTCATCTAGGAACTTGGTGAATGATGTCTTGAACCAAGAACCATGTTGATGAATAAGAAATACTACACACACACTTTTGTTCGGAGATAAAGTACTGAAGCTTGACACGTTTCAACCATGTGTCCAAAATTCATACTTATGAGTGTCGTTAAGGATCAAGCCTGTCTGAATCCTATAGAAGCAGCCCTAGTTTCACACTCAGATCGGTGTGTCCATCAAGAATGACCTTGCACACTCCAACTGAATACCAGTTGTGGACCAATTAACAGAATTTAATCTCATCATCCTCCTCATTGCAATATAAATTGGTGAATCGATCTATCCAAAGTGATTGTGTACACCCCAATCGGAAATCCGATCTATAGAATTCATTAAGAGACTTATGTCTCAGCCTCCTCGTTCATTATACAGTGAATCAATCAAGAGTGATCATGTACACTCGAATCGAAAATCGATCTATAGATTCATTAAGAGATCTAAAATCTCAAC